CCCACTTCTTCCCTGGTCCCCAGCGGCAGCTCTGCAGCCGCAGCGAATGCCTGCATGGATGGCATCACCCGAAGGGTCGGTGCAAACCCTCACAGCAGGGGAGGTCCCTGCTCAGCCACCCACGAGTGGGCTGGGGGGGTCACCAGCCGCAAGAGGGCTTGATTTGGGACCATTCATCCTTCTCCGAACTGCCTCTCACCAGATCTAGCTGCTCCCCAATGGGCCCATCGCCTTCTCCCCACCGCCAGGATGACCAGATGCATCCTGCTAGGGACCCCCCTTTGATGGCCCCCCCGGCAGCCCCACTCAGCCCCCATGAATGAGGGGTTTCCAGCCTTCCCCGTGACCCTGTGACACACAAGGTGGAGGGGAGCGCTTCCCACGCTGCCAGCCCAGCTCCCACTCCCAGGGCAGAGAGAAGAAACGATCGCCCCCCTGTTTTTGCGGTGCTCGGCTCCCCCCGGGAGACAGGGCTGATTGCCCGGGGAGGCAGCAAGTGAACTCACACCTGGGTGTGCATGATTCACATCCCGATCACAAAATACAGAGATTTTCTTCTCCGGCACAAAAAACATAAGGGGAAGTCACTGCCTGTGCCTACTCTGCACACACACACTCACACACACACACGCGCATCCCCCAGTGTGCACGCTCCCGTGAGCAGCCCCACGCCGCAGCCCATGCGTTCGCACCCGCGCCCACGGCCGTCCTCCCGCTCCGCTCATGATTCACGCGGGGATAAGGAGATTTTTTTTGAAGCTGAAGCGATGGGCAGAAGAATTAAGTCGCTGCCTACTCCCGTTCTGCTCGTGTGAAAACACGCGCGCGCCCCACACCGCAGCCCTGGGGATGGATCCAGGCTCACTGCTGTGGGTGGGAGAGATGCCTCCCCCCGCTGCTGCCCCCACGCATGCCCTGGAGCCCCTCCACGCTGCCCCCCAGGGCAAACTCACCCTGGGGACGTTTGTCCGGTTTCCCTGGGAGCACCAAGGTGACACGGGGGCAGCTCAGCCCGAGTCCACACAACCTGCCCCGACACGCAGCGCACGCAGCCGTCGGCTTCTCCCAGCCGGCTCGCAGGGATCATAACGCCCATCGGCTACAGCCACCAACGTAGGAGCTGCAACCAAGGCTGGGGTCTCTCAATTAGCAGAGGTGCTCATTAAGACAGGCACATGCTCCATAAGCCTGCCCACTGCAGGCGTGCCTGCTGCTTCCATGCTGGTGCATCGGAGCATCCGGAGATGCTTTTGGCTTGGACCAAATCCAACCTCCTGAAACTCTGCCGGGTGGAAGGGGAGAGGCTCACAAACCCAACCCAGCACCACCAGTTCAAGCAAGGGCACGCCACAAACAACCCCCGAATCTGCCAGACTCCCGCTGCCGGGACCCCCGGGGTCTCCCGAGCTCCCACTGTTGGGAAAGTTGGCCCCAAGGGAGGAAATCTGGTCCTGAACGGAGCGGAGGCAGCTCCCGCGCAGCGAGGAGGATGAGGATGGGTCAGAGAGAGGCAGGTCCAACCGCGGCGCTGGGTCCCTTGTGAATCATTTTATTTTCACTGCTGCAGAGAGTAGGAGTGAAAATACCATTAAGTTGAAATCAGTCGAGAACTACATATGTCTCTAGATATATCTGTACAGTCTACCAGTATATATACACATTATATATAAATATATACATAGGGTCTCCGGGTTTAAGGTTGAAACCTGTCGAACCCAATAAAGCCCACTGTAGGAAGACTTTGAGAGGAGACTTTTGCCATGAGAAAACAAGCCTGAATTAGCACAGGGGTTTAATGAACCTTCCAGTGCTGGAAAGGGGGGAGCGCCCAGCTTGAGGGGTCACTGGTGTGTCCCCAGGCTGTGGGGAACATCCCTGTCCCATTCCCCAGGAGCGGGACACAGTGCCCGTCCATGCCCGTCTCTGAGAAGGGTCAGTTTTGGTGGCTGAACACAAAGGAGGTAATGAATGGTTTCTTTGGTTTATTGTTTTAATGCTTATTTCAGTTGTATTATTTTTTTTTTTCCTCTAACGCTCGACCTTAAATCTAAATCCTGAGAATCAGGAAGAGTAAAAGAGTATAACCCCCCCTAAACCCGGACACCCTATATATGCAGGTACAGCTATCAGAGAGGGAAGCGATACATGTGAAAACAGGGAGAAGGGGGAATAAAAATAGCTTTTCCAAAAGAGTAATTCTTCCCTTTTCTTTCTCATTCCTTTTTTTCTCAAAAAAAGAAAAAAAAAAAAAAGGCAAAATGAGTCATGTGTGTTTGGTTCAAGAAAGCAAAACTTCCAGGAGATGGGAGTCAAGGCAGGAGGGCAGAGGGACGGCGAGAGCAGAGCAGAGATCTCACGGGTCAGCCCAGCCCCGGCACAGCCCGGGTTTACACCCGCGTCTGCATCTGGCCCAGGTACCTACATACGGGGGCGAGTGTCCCATCGGCATCGCTGCAAAGCAGCTGGCTCTGCTCTGCCCCCGGGGGGGGTCCCATGCCCGGGGCAGGTCGGTGGCATCGGGGTCCCGCAGGCTTTGGGTCCTGCCTGCACCGGGGAGGGCAGGGTTTAGTGGGAGCAGCAGAGTGCGGCCGATGCGCTGAGCCCCGCATCTCCGCTGCTACGGGGCGGCGGGAGGATGCAGGATGCGGCACCGTGGACTGATGCTGCCGGGGGCGGGGGGGGGCTGCAGGACACCCTCCCCACTCCCTCCTACCAAATTCACACCGCCACGAGGGAATGAACCTCCAGAGCAATGCGGAGCCAAGGCCGAAGCCCCCCAGGAGGGCCCGGGCGGGAGGAGCGTGTCCCTCGCCCGGGGCCCCGGGAAGTGGCTCTGGCCACGAGGTGTCGTTGCCGGTCCTGCCGGCCACCCTCCGCCCGCACGGATCCTGCTCCCCCGGCCACCCACCGCCCGTACCCCCGGCTGGCATCACCCGGAGCCCCAACCCAGGGCATCCCTGCTCCATCTCCATCACAGGGGATTCATCCCCAGGGACACCACGGGCTCTCCGGGTGCAGCCACCCAGAGCAATGATACGACCCGAGTCCTCCAGCGAGGTGGCCCCTGGGCTCCCTCGTCAGCTCCATCTGGAGATGCTTTTGGCTTGGACCAAATCCAACCTCCTGAAACTCTGCCGGGTGGAAGGGGAGAGACAGAAAGGGCAGAGAAGGCAGAGCCCACAGGCAGGGAACTGGGGGGAGCGTGACAGCCACCCCGGGCTGATGGTGCGACCTGGGGTGGCTGCTGCGAGGCGGTGCTGTCCTGCAGGCAGTGGTCCCCAAGGATGCACATGCCACACGTGTCCACGGCCACTGCAGGGGAGGAAAGGGGGAAAGGCAAGAGGGATGGAGGCAGGGTGTGAGCAGGGGGAGAGGGAGGCAAAGAGGGTCCCACGTGTCGAACAGCGATGGGGGTCGAGGCTCTGTGCAAAGCCAAGTCCTGGGAGAGGCGCGCTGCCGGGCAGGGCTAGAAAACCACGGACTGCAGGAGGCGGAAACACATCATCAGGTCCAAGGGGATGGGGGGTTTCAGGAGGTTCCCGTCCAGCCGCAGGTACCGGAGCCGGGGCACACTGTCCAGGTCGGAGGGGGAGAAGTCCTGGATGGACATCAGCGAGGTGGGGCAGATCTGCGTCCCGTTGATTTCTGCAAGGAGAAGAGGAAAAAGAGGATGCAGGTTAGAGGAAAAGGAAGGCAGAGAGGGATGCTAGGCACCCCCCTTCCTGCCTGCCTGTCTGTTGAACCCCAAAATGGGATTGCTTTGCTACCGAGGGGGAGAATCCCCAGCCTCTCCCAGAAGACGGCATAGCCCCAGCAAGGGGAAAATCTTGCTTTTGTTCAGAAATGAAGTAGGTCACGTTCAGCCAAAGCGCAAGGAGGGATGCAGTGTCATTTGAGAAAGAAAAGGGATTATTTCAAACATGAAACCTGCCGAGCCAGCCCTAAGCCTTCAAAAAAAAAAAATAAAAAAAAAAATCAAGGAAACATGCTCCAGCACCGTTATGCTGAAGATAACGTCAATAACCGGCTCGTTGCTCACTTCTGGATTTCCACGCGTTTATCCCCACCCCAGGGCTTGTGTTATGGAAAACAAACCCGGGGATTCTTATGTTGTTACCCAACTCCAGGGACTGAAACCTTAGAAAAGCTGGGAAAAGCTGGGACATGCTGTGCACAGCCAGGCGGCACCTCTCCGTGGAAAGCCCTAGCAGGACCTGGGTACCAGTGTATGTGACACCAGCAGCAGTCACCACCTTCGCTCCAAGGTCCCCCTTGGCTCCAGTTTGGTGTTGTTTAAATAATATGTAGATTAACCAGCATTTAAACCAGACATTCATCACTGCATCGTTGCTCCCTGGGAACCAACTCCGGTCACCCCCCAAAGAGAAGGGATGTGGCTTTGTGAGGGTGTTGTCCCCCTCCCTGGCATCCTGTCCCACACCACTATTAGCGCTCGCCTGCAGAGAGCAGCTCTTGCTCATCCCTCCCTGGCTCATGTTCAGTGCCCGGTTTGGGCAGCAGCCGACCCGCTGAAGCTGCGCTGTGATTTTACAGCCCCTCTGCAGCAGCAGATGGCTTTTTGCATGTACAGCCGCGCAGCGTCACTGCACAATTAACGCTGCAGCGTGGGAGCGCTTGTGTTCCACCACTCGTGGGGACCAGCGTCCTGCCCAGTGGCTGCTGGACAGGCAAGTAATGCCCTGGGCAGGGGGGGTCCTGCAAGCCCCCATACACCCCGCTGCAGCCAGAAAGAGAAGAGCCCAGCACACTTTTCCCAGTGCACATGGAGAGTCTCCGGCAGGAGCGCCGCATTCTTGCTCCCCTGCAGATAGCAAGGAGAGCAGGTTGCTGGACCTCTAACAGCAGAAACATCTGGGGTGACCAGAAATGGGTCTCTGTCTTCTTCTCGAATGTGCTAGCTATGTTTACACATTCCACAGGCCAGCGCCTCTCCCATGAAATTGCAGTGCTTTGCCTGGAACGGTGTGAAACTGCCCCGGTTGGTTTGCCAAGGCAACCTCCATCACAGCCTTGTTCTCCCTATTCCTTCCCCTGCGAGGCTCAAGCTCGAGAGCTAAGCTGGGTTATTTCTAACCATCTTGACTGCGTATTTGGCATCTGTTCTTAAAATATGTGCACAGACTCTCCTTTTAAAATATCCCTATTTCTGAGCCCTGCTGGGGAAGTAACTATTTAGATGGCAGGTGGCCCCAAAGAAGAGCTGCCCATGACAACGAACAAGAAAACCCCTGCAGCACCAGGGGGAATTGAGTGCTGCTCCTCAGCTGCCACCCTTACCCTTGGGCCATTCTTCCCCACGTGCAAATCCATCCCCCTTAGGGACTTGTTCACCTACACAGAGCCCCCAGCTCATCTCACCACCGCACCCTCCTTTGAAGAGTTCACATCCCACTGGGTGAAAAATGCCCTTTTTCAATGAAACACTCGCCATCCCCAAGCCCGTCCGCTCCCCCACAGACCTCGCCGCCGCCTCCCCACCAGCGAACACAACTCACTTTCAATGGAGTTGTTATTCAGGTAGAGATGCTCCAGCTTGGGGCTGATGAAAGGGACGTTGGTGAGCTTGTTGTGGGCCAGGTGCAACACCAGCAAGTTGGTGAGGTTGAAGGAGTTCTTGGGCAGCCCCTTGTCAGAGATCTGGTTGTAGTTGAGCCGGATGAACGCCAGGTTGGGGAACTCCTTGAAGTAGTCACTGGGGATGTCTTCAATGTTGTTCCTGTCCAGAAAGAGCTGGTGGATGGCACTGGGCACCCCGGGGGGCATTTTCCTCAGGATGTTGTGGGCCAGGTTGAGTTGCATGAGGTTTTTGAGTCCCTTGAAGGTGTTTTTGTTGAAGACCCCATCGCTTAGCTTGTTGTGGTGCAGGTCCAAGAGCACCAGATTCTCCAGCTTGTTGAAGACCCCAGCAGGGATCTTGGAGATCTGGTTCCTGCTCAAACGCAGCTGCTCCAGGTTGGGCGGCAGGAAAGCAGGCACCTCCTTGAGCTGGTTCTTCTCCATGTAGAGGAAGATGAGGTTTTCCAGCTCCTCCAGGACCCGCCTGTCCACCTTCCGGATGCGATTGTTGTCTAGGTTGACC